CAGTACTGTACGCAGGGCTAGTCGAGACTGTACTAACCTTATGAACGACTGTCCACGTCGGCGCAGCTGAAAATTCTCAGTCTGTACATTATAATATTTGGATAAGCATGATCCGGAGAATTTTCTGACAGAGATGGCTCTGCCAAATGCAGAAATACTCATAATTCTAGTTTAACATAGTCGACGACACCGCAGTGCGACAACCGGCATGGTCCGACTTTGATACAGACGACTAAGAAACAGCTGACGATCACTTCCGGGCTGAGAGATCTGTATGATGGCGCGCTGCATATTTCAGGATGAAGTGTGTGAGGGCGCTTTGAATTGAAATTATGAAATGAGGGCGGGGGGGGGGGGCAAGGAGGGTAGCTGGTACAGTTTTACGGGAACTAAAAAGGGCTTTTTACAATTTACAAGGAAAAAAAGACGTTTTTACAGTTTACAGTGAAAATTGAATGTTTACAGTTTACAGAGAAAATAAAGGTTATTTTACATTTTACGAAAAATTAAGAAAGAAAACCTAGAAAATTCTTGTACGTACCGAGAAAAATATTTGATTGATTACGTTATACGTCTAGCCTTTGATTACAGAATTACGGAATTTATTTTTTCAATTTACGTTGTACGAACAAAAAAATATTGCGTTGAACGAAAATAACCCTTGCCCCCCCCTCTGAAATTAAAACAACACATGCCATATTGTTACACGTGAACATGCTCAGCTTTTTTTCAATTCATTCTACAGTGAGGTTTATTTCGAGATGTCATACTTATAGAGTGCAATCTGTGATATCTGAATATGGAATAGAGCTATTTTAGTTTTGAAAATACCGGTATGTTATTATATTCTAGATAACGAACGTCTACACATTCAAACTATAGATTCAACAATCTATGACGTAACACAGTAGTTGATTGGAACGTCATTGCTATCATCTCGCAATTTTGACACCACATAAGTGTTTCGTCACCAGAGGGCGCTATTTATAGAATGCTATGTCCAATGCTCACATAACTTACTCTTCATTTAATAAATCACATGTAAAAATAATCATACAGCAGACTACACAGAAGGTGCGATTTAAAGAAAATGAGTAATAGGATGCTAGAAATTGGCTTTGGACTACTAAACTTTTGAAAATATTTTCAAATAATTACATTATCACAATTACCAACGATCAACCATTTGATAAACCTCACATGAGGTGAATGTACAATGTTGAAAAACAAGCTTGCAAAGTTATTCAAAGCGATTGCAAAGTTAGTAGATGTATTAGTATATTTGAAGTAAGTTGTTGGCGTATGGAACCCTGTTGTTGTAAAGTCAGAAAAATGAATGAGAGCCAGCAGAAAGCAGCCTATTAGCAGATCGCCCCCATGAGGTGAAAGTCCAATTTTGAAAAACAAGCTTGCAAAGTTGCGCAGAGCGATTGCAAAGTTGGTGGAGGTCCTTGTGTATTTGACCTAAGTCATTGTCATGACAGTCATGACGCAGTTAAATTTCGAAAACATTATTGCTTTCAAAGTTGTGCAAAGCGATTGCAAATTTGGTAGATTTATTTGGGAATGTGACCTATGATATGTGTTTTTCAGATGAAACAGCTTATAATATTAAGCTACAACCAAACGAAATTACCGTCATAGTTTCACAAATCTGTAAGGTTTTGATTTGTTCACTTGTCGGTAGCAAGTTTACCTCTACTCGAATTGCAAATATGGATGCAATAACGATCATGGGGGTGGTTATATTAATAGATAAATAACGAGAGATGCTGGATTAATTGTTATCACAAGGTTCAAAATAAACAAATTAGACAACATTAAAAGTTGGGTACAGTTTCTATTTAATGGATTGTATTAACATTTCTTTTACAATATCTATATTTAATTTCTTTATAATATTCACATTTTTGTGTTTATTCAATTTACCATACCAATCAACAACCATTTGACCTCTTGTGAGTTGACCATGTAGTTCTACCGTGGCGTAATGTTGTACGGATTCCACGATAGCATCCTTACATAGACGAGCTACCATGGTTGAGCTATCCCAGCTGATGTAGGGATTGTCTTTTCCTAACCCATAGATATTCTCGAAATACTTGAATTGAATTCCGATGATTGCCGATACAAATTTGGTTTTATCTGTTTCAACATTCAGTCGTTCTTCCATCCATGACTGTGAAGAGATTAAGAAAACGATGTAAAACAATGACAGCATCACCTTTCCTGACACAGTCGTGTAGCGTGCGTGTGATAATTATCCCTGTTGTTAAACCGTAACCCCAACCAGTTCCCGTACATTGACATTGACACCGGTTGAACATTTACGGTTCAACACATTTATTGTGAGGACATTGGTAAAATTCCTAGTATTCATTCATGGTATTCATACCTGTGTTAATGGATGTTCTTCGCATATATCAGTTGTTAGGATAAGTATGGGACATTCCATGGAGTTCAGTACAATACATGCCGCCTCTGGGTCCATCGCAAAATTGAACTCACCGCATACTGTAATGTTACCTCTACCTAACAATGTAAATAACACTTGATTGTATTACAACTAATACCAATATGATTCAAATTCGATCCTAGTTTTTAAAAAATATAACAAAATATAACATTTCTGCATATATTTTATTTTGAATTTATTTAAGTTTTAAAGTGCCTGTGCAATGCCCACCCTCACGTTTCCCATTTTAGATCTGTATCCCACTGAAATGGGCAGTTATTGATTTTTTTGCTGAAAATGATTACTCGTATCCAAGTAAATTTGGGATATTTCTTGTGTTGTAGCCACGCCCACCTATCCTGAAACGGTGGACTGTTTCCGGATTTCCGACTCTCGGCGTATTTTTTTTTTTTTTTTTTTTTTTTTTTTGAGTTTCGCCATCATCAACCTATGAACAAATACCAGCAACTAAATTAAATACAATAAAAATATGAAACAAACATTAACATAAATTATATATGAAAAAATGGAGGAAAACAAATAAAAATAAGAAAAGGGGTCTTATTTTAATAGGTTTTGACGAAAATATAGGAAGTAAGTGTTACTTTTAAACCCGGACTTTACACGGAATTCTTAGTTGTACGCTTACTGATGCGTGTATTACAGTCGTATTGTACATTGTGTAATAACGATCCAATGACGCGCAGTATATGTGTACAGTTTGCCAGAAAATACATACCCTTCTACCCAGCATTGTTTTTTAGAAATATGTCAAGAACGTACACTCTCATTAATAACCACTCATTCAGTATTAGTACATGTATATAATGCACATACTATTTATGTTTCCACCCATCACTGTTAAATCTTTCACTTTCTTTCGGAAATCGGCATCCATCCTCACTGCCATGGCAACGTTTGTGAGGGGTCCCAATGCAACTAAAGATATTTCTCCTGGATGTTGATTGACAGCTTTGACCAGAGCATTGACGGCATGTTCGGATTTCAGCAAGGACATATCAGGAATTATGACATCCGGGACATCTCCTAAACCGTCTTCATCCCCGAAATCGGGTGCACAGTCCCCGGCATCCAACAAGGACGTTGTGGAACCTCTGAAGACGGGGATCTGCCAGTAAAAGTGAGAATTAAGTACTAGTAATCAAATTGGGATTGTTTTGTTTATAAGGCAAGAATACTGGAAATTTATAAAATGACGAACCTCCTCTCTTCCATATGCTTTTAATACCCTCAACGTGTTACGACAACACTGATCAACATTGGCATTGCCATTAACGCAACTGATACCCAGTACGTCTACGTTCGGTTGTGATAGCGCTATCATGATAGCTTCTGCGTCGTCGACTCCAGGGTCGCAGTCGATCCACATTCGAATTCGATCTGTAGTCATTGCTGAAATAGGTCAGAGGTGCATACGTCTTTCAGCTGTATATACGGGTTCGAGAGGTCAAACGTTACGTTAA